CCCTTGTGTCCCACCTCCCCCCCCCCCAACTTCCCCCCCCCTCCACCCTGACATGCCAGCATTTCTGACCTCCATCAGGAAACAAGAAACTGTTACTACAGCTACAAACTGAGCACATGGTCAGAACCAGGTGAGGTTCTGACACCATCAACGAATCACTGAGCTCCATTTAAGTTCAGGACAGAATCGTTAAAGACTTGAAAAGACAGAAAAGTTTACGAGAATTTTTATACTTTTTTTTTTCGCTACAACAGTCCTGGTACAGACACCAGAGCTAACGTTAGCTACAACAGTCCTGGTACAGACACCAGAGCTAACGTTAGCTACAACAGTCCTGGTACAGACACCAGAGCTAACGTTAGCTACAACAGTCCTGGTACAGACACCAGAGCTAACGTTAGCTACAACAGTCCTGGTACAGACACCAGAGCTAACGCTAGCTACAACAGTCCTGGTACTGACACCAGAGCTAACGTTAGCTACAACAAACCTGGTACAGACACCAGAGCTAACGTTAGCTACTACAGTCCTGGTACAGATAGTGTAGCTAGCCTACAATAAACCAGTTCTTGAAGAGACGGAATGCTAACGTCACCTTGACGTCTATTCACTGATTCAATAAACCAAATATTATTAAAAACTTAAATATTTTAATTAAAAATCTGTTGATTGTTTCCATTATTGCTTTTTGCTCAAACTGGATTCACTTTTAATTATTTACAAAAAATAAAAATGTAAAATGTAAACGGCTAATTTTTTAACGTTGTTTCACAAGCAATTTAAACTAAACGTTATTAAAAAAATATATATATATACATAATATAAAACTTGAAAAGCAGAGGTTGAACACTGAGACGTGAGCCGACGGCTGCGTGTGCGTCCATCACGGCGTTTCCTGCTCCAGCCGTCGGCCCCTTCAACATTAACACATATGGCTTTTCTTAGATCATTACTTCCATTAAGTCATTAGGCCGGAGCCTGAGCGCGGCCTGTTAGTTAGTCACATTAAAGTTAACACTTTCCGCCGCCACAACCAGGCGGACTGACACGTCTGCGGCACTAACTGACACGTCTGTGGCACTAACTGACACGTGGCTCCGTCCTAATCATTAGGAAAATTGCTCTTAACAGGTCCGGCGTTTAGTAACGGTCTCATTCCTTCCATCTCGACTCTGGGCGAGAGCAGAACTGCACAAAGATGTCTCCGTCAACTCCAGCACCGCGGCTAAACCGCTAACACACACACACACATACACACATACTGGTTTATGTGTGTCACACACACACACACACACATACTGGTTTATGTGTTTTGTGAGTACGTGTCATAGACTACAGATTATGAGTGTTTTATTCCCAGATTATCTCTTGAAATCTGATCCTAATTACAACGCTCCAAACTAAATCTTTGACCTAAAAAAAAAAAATTCTCTTCTTCCACTCAGCGGTTCCTGAAACACACACACACACACACACACATTTCCTCTAAACTGTCCCTGTGAGTCCAACCCAGGACCTTTTAACATTTTTTTGGAGACCTTTGATCGCGCGACTATCATTTCAGACTGTTCTGGAAGAGCCGGGGGTGTTAATGTTGGACGGAGGGGCAAAGGGGGCAATTTGGGAAGAATGAGGGACGGTGAGAAGATTGGTCAGAAAATAACACACCAAGCTTTCATCTCACACCGCCCCCCCCACGCCTCCCCTCCCCTCCCATCCCTCAAACTC